TGGGCGCAACACCGAGGGTTGCGATCCCGTTGCCGGTCCCTGGTACGGGCGCAACACCGAGGGTTGCGATCCCGTTGCCGGTCCCTGGTACGGGCGCAACACTGAGGGTTGCGATCCCATTACTGGTCAGTAAAAAAAAAAAAGACAAAAAGGACAAAAAAAAAAAAACAAAAAAAGTTTCTATAGCAAACTAACTGATCTCTAAGCCTTACAAGATGATTAACAACATAATGTCAAAATTCTTAATCTTTGCATTTTACATTATCTTTAGGGCTTTATAAATGGAAAAACTGAGGTAGAAGAGACAATTCCTGACTGATTTCAGCTTTCCTGAATATGAGGGAGTTCCTATGGCCCTGTATGTATCCTAGTGTTTTTAGACAAATGCAAGAGCTTCACCCCTAAAAGGGCTGGGGATGAAACAGGGAGGCCACACCTCCCAGTATGTCCTCATTACACCTATTTCCCCGGGTAATTGTAAGTAGAGCCCTCTTTCACCATCAAATATGTCCTGATTTGGTTGATAAATCACATGGTCACCCTAAATGAGCAAAGTTATCTTGATACAAAGCATCATAGTGGATTCCAGTCTGGGTTAATTACTTCTCCTATCTGCTCTTGTAATATTCTACACTTCACTTAATCATAACACAGGTCACTTTATAATAAAAGTATATATTTTTTCTTTCTCTAGTGAATAACACATGACTTGGCCCATAGCAGATGTTTACAAAATTTTTGAATTCATAATTAGCCTACACAAAATGTTGCATCATAAATTCATACTAATGGCTGAAGAGGGTTAAGAATCTTGTGATTTTTAGTATAGGGTTTTTAGGTAAATGCACGTATGGGACAAAAGTCTTGGTTAAGAGGCAATGGTCTACAGTTAGGGGCAAGGGCCCATCTAATCAACTCTACTTTAATGATTTTAGAGCTAACAGGTGGTTGTCATACCAATCCTGTTAAGAGATTTTAAGGAATTGCTGTAGGGAAAAATGTGAAAAAATGTTTGCCATGGGCAAGCTGTTCATTGGTGAAAACTTGAGTGAAAATCATACTTAGATTTAATCATAAGAATGTAACTTTCACTTAAATCATTTAAGAAGAGGTTATAGTTTAGATTAGATAATGATCACAGTTTTATCAACTTAGCTTTTCACAGATCATACTTTGGAATGTCACATTGTTAATTTTATGTAGTTTCTCACTCGCCAAAACCACTGGTCCTGCAAACCAAGCAGAGGCATCTCTCAACAATTACTAGGTTCCATTGTTTAAGCTATACTTAGCCATAGATAACTGTTGTCACATTGCCCATGTCTTTCTGTCCTTTCGAAATGATTGAATCAACTGATTTTTCTTTTGAAACTTCCTTGTCTCTACAATAAAAAAACAGAAGCTAACTTTGAATTGGGGCTGTACCCAGTTTTCTCCTTCTAACAGAGGTGTTGCTGAGGTGCAGTCCCTTTGGGCTTCTCATTGCATTCATGTTGCTTTGAGTAATTTTTTTTGAGTCTCTTACATGGAGAGAAGTGTAAAAAATAGCAAAAAAAATTAAAAATTTACAAAAAAAGTTACATCTGATGACACTAAGTAGTATTCTATTGGCAATTTCAGAATAAATTAAAGACTATTCAAAGTGCTTTATATTAGAAAAATTAGGCATATTTTAAAAACTGGTTTCCAATACAATTAAAATTTCACTTTATTTCAAACACACAAACAGTATTTCACTTGGAAGTTAAATATTTCTATTATTTAAATTAGTACGTTTCACAAAAATATTTCAGTTTCAATTCCTTTCTGCTCTCTTTCTTGCTGTCTCCCCCCATGTTTGATATTAATAACTGATTTCTTATAGGGCTTTCCCATACCTTTGGCTAAGTATAGGATAACCTGGCTAGACTTCCTAGGATTTACCATTTATTCATATTCATATTATATTCATATTCATACATTCCCCCATCTCCTTACACACAATCTACTGAGGATTCTTAGATTTCAGGTAATATGGTAAAAACGAACCTCTTTCCACATAAATAAATTCAAATATTAAAGTTTTCTTAGGAGCCTTTGAATAGTTATAGACTGTTCTAGTTATCATGGGTTGTCTTCTCTACCAACCTGTGTTATTTATAAATAAAGGAGAAAGTAGCTTAATTAATAGCTTGGAGTTCAAATCATATTCTTACTCTGTTCCCTAGTAACTGAGTCACCATGGCCAAGATACTACTCAGCAAGTTATTGCAAACTAATATGTAACCCATAGAATGACTACTGTATTAAATATGAAGGACTTTCTGAAAACCTGGCACATGGCATCTCCTAAACTTTGGGCTGCTATTATTGTTAAAATTATACTGAAACTAGTTATCCTACTTTCCCTATTTATATTTTTGTTTATGGTTGTAGTCTCCTGTTCATTGTTTCCTCTTCAGTTCTCATCCGTGTTAGGGCTGAAGCCATGCATATCTCTCCCACAAATACCCTCTCATATTTTTAGCCTTTTCTTGGTAATTTTCATGGTAACAGGTAGCCTGAATTAATGTTTTGATCCACATGCAGTAGATAAATTAAATAGATTTTAAAATAAGAAGTTTCTTCATGAAAGGTTGATCAAGGGAAATATATATGGCCACGAAGATAAAGGATTAACTGCTAATAGAATATAAGCAAGTGATATTTTGATCATTTAAAAGAAAAATAGCATTTTTGTCTAGCTACAACAGGTGTTTTTCACTGGGTATTAAAACCATATCAATCTTCAAATAAAATGTTCTTAAATGATTGTAACACATACACCAAATAATAAATAAAAATGGCTAAACACCTACTGGATTCTGATAAGAAATAACTGACCATGATTATTTATGGAACAGTAAAACAGAACCTCTCTCAGCTGACGAATGGGAAGAAATCAGGTTGATTGTAACACATACACCAAATAATAAATAAAAATGGCTAAACACCTACTGGATTCTGATAAAGAAATAACTGACCATGATTATTTATGGAACAGTAAAACAGAACCTCTCTCAGCTGACGAATGGGAAGAAATCAGGTGAAATAGTCTGGACTAATTCCACTTTCCCTCAGAGAAGCACTTCACTTCATGTTTTTAATCTCCCCCATATTGAGACAGAGCCAATGGCTCTTTTGGGTAGACAAATACCACAGTCTGAAGATAGGAACACAACCCCAACACATCACTAACAAGGGAGGAAATAAAAATTCTGCCTAAAGATAAGCATAAGTTGGTTTACAAACATTCAGAAGGTAATGTGGAACGATGAATGAATTCACCACTATTTCTAATTGACTGCAGCCTTGTTAGAGACTCTTATAAATTACAGATATTTAGGTTGAACCTCTATTCAACTTATCCACAACTTTTCAGTTTGGCAGAAAGCACTGGTACAAATAATTTAGAAAGCATTCTATCACAGAGGATGCAAACAAACTCTGTGGTCACTGTAGATTGCCATATCAGAAATAAGGCAGTGAACAATTCAGAGAGAAAAAATAGTTAAAATGATACATAGATCTCTGTGCAAATTTTCCTTGTAAGTGAAACCTTCTCTGATGGCCCCATCTAAACTTGAAGATCCTCACTCCTCTCATAAGCATCTGCAGACTCTCTTCAGCTTCCTTCCCTGTTTGTTTTCCTTCATTGCATTGATCACTGTTTTATACAATACGTGTTCTACTTATTTAGTGTTCATTCTCTCTCCACTAGAATATAAGCTCCATGGTGGCAAGGTTGTCTGTCTTTTGTTCACTTACAGTTCCCCATTTCCAGAAAAGTGCCTTGCACATAGTAGATGCTCAATAAATACTACTGGAAAGAAAACACAACTTAAGGAGGAAAGATCAAAGCAAAAGTAAGTGATCCTTTTAGGAGCCAAAGCTTTAAAATTAAATCTAAGTTTTTTCCTCTCTGTGGTCAAGACATTCTCTTACTTAATGAAAACAAAAGTTTATGTGGGGACCACAAGAATACAAAAATTCTACTTGAAAACGCAGATGTTTAGCACATATTCTGTTTTCTAGAATGGTATAATATTCATGGTCTTTGAACCATGTAGGAAAAGCACATTTGTTTTCACCCTTCTAAACAGTGGAAGTTTTGCTTTGGCTTCAGATGTGAAGGGAAAAAAGAGGAATGACCATTATGGCTCTCTAAATCTGCTATTCTCATGTTGCTTCTGGCCTCTTTTTTTTTTTTTTTGCTGTAGCTTT